AGATTGGCCAGTTTTTACCATCAGTCAAGTGTAATGTCCCTCTGCAAGATGCAGGAGTGTACAAGCTTGATTGTGATTGTGGTCTCTCCTACATAGGACAAACTAAAAGATCAATAAAAACCCGCGTTAAAGAACATATAGCTGATGTGAAGAATCGACGCTCCGGGAAGTCTGCAGTCTGTGAACACGTACAGGATCGCCCCCGTCACTACATCAGATTTGATAGACCGCAAATCCTCGCTAAAGAACACCGATTCCTTCCAAAGATGATTCGCGAGGCTATTGAAATCAAAAAACATACTAATTTCAATAGAGAATATGGCTGGGTGCTACCATCTGCTTGGGATCCTATAATAAATAAAATTAAATCCCAACCCAAGCATACAACTACAAGACTTCAAGATACCATAAGTTCATACTGTATAGATCGGAACAAAAGTTAAATTTTAATCTATGGTAACCGCGGTTAACTATGACATATGGACGTTGAACATCTCAGTCCCGCCCGTGACCATGAGTGCTGTAAAGCGTTCGAAACGTCGGGTATTTAAAAAAGTTAAATATACGCGATAAATTCCGTAAAAACTAGTATTATTTCAATGTGTAGTGTTCGCGTAAATATAAGAAATCATTACGAAAAGTAATAGTTTAGGTAGCGACCCACTCAATATCATCACCATTGCTTACATTTCAATGTAATCTCTTAGCCTTTATAATTTCTCCTCTACCACGAGTAGTTCCAACTCACACACTAACTCCTCCATGGAAATATCAGTCGGTATACCTCTAACAACACCCATTCTGGTAACATTAAAGATGGGAATGACTACAAATAGTTTTTGTAATTAGCAAGAAAAGATGATTCGATTAAGTTATTGGCCTCCGAAACAGTTTTAAAAGCTTTTGAGACCCTATTACGCCCTAAATTAGTTATGCCTTGTTTTTCAATATTGGAATTATTTTAGGATAGAATATGTTTACACGGGCTTTGTAGCTAAGTGCTTAGTACTTGTCACTATACTAAGCCTCAAAATGACAAGTGAAAAGTAACCGTTTACACGTTGGAGCCAGTAAAGGTTATTAGTGACCAGACATTCGAAATGGAGCGACGCCGCCTGATTTTGCGCAGTGTGTTTAAGCAATATTCAAACATTAATATTTCAAGCATGATCGAAGAGCTTGAAAGACAAAAATTAAAAGAAAACGTTTGTGGACAAGACAGTGGTTACTGCGCAGAGATGAACGGGGTCATTCTGCTCTTCTATTAAAAGAACTAGCAACCGAAGATCCAGGAGAATATAGAGTAACTATGAGAATGTCAACGGCACAATTTGATATTTTATTAGAAAAAGTTGCACCAGCAATTCAACGACAAGACACAAATATGAGAACAACTTGTCACTAACTAACTTGTCGAGGTGTTAACGCACGGTCAGCAAGCGACAAGTGCTTAGTAAACCGTGGTGGGGGTATCGACTTGTCGCTTAGTAAATAGGATCGTTTTCTATTCACTTACACTATTCACAAATACTAATACTAAGCACTAATCAGCGTGTTTACACATGAGGACTTAGTATTAGTGACAAGTACTAAGCGCTTAGCTACGAAGCCCGTGTAAACCGCCCATTTGTCAGTTCGGATTGTACAGTCAGATGAAGTGTCGTGTTTTGTACGCTTAAGGTGGATTATGAAAGGCCTTTATCACTATCTGTATAGTTTTTATTTTCCAAAAAATCATAGTGGGTGTAAATGTTTTGATATGATGCTGATGGCTTATCTTCATGATCAACTTCTTTTATGAATGAGTCCGTATGTTTTCATTTAGAGGGACCAAAACCAGACGGATTGCCTTTATCCGGTAGTTCTGAATATAACCCGTCTAGGTCCATTGCTTTAATTAGGAATACATAAATTAACACCTTAATAACAAATGAACAACACAACACAAATTTATATAACGACAAATAAAGAGACGGTAAAAGTACGTAGTTTGCGCGTTTACCGTTGAAATATCCCCTTCGTCGTATTTCCTGAGTTTCAAGGCACTCCCCTTGTTGCCTTAGCCAGTATCCGAATCCTCGGCGTTGATATATCTCATGACGTGCAGTTTCGTGGAAGAAACGGCCAAATTGACCTCCAAAAAGCTTGGCGTGCTCAGCAGAGTGTAACAGTGCCTCGGCGTCGTGATCTTTAAAAACCAAGCTTTTAGCGTGCTCAATAGAATGGTACAGTATTTCATGCCAGCACACCGCCTGCAACTTTACAAGGCGGAGGTTCGGCTGCACATGGAATACTGTTCCCATCACTGGGCGGATGCTCCCCAGTGACAGCTATTTCAATTTGATCGCATCCAGCGCAGAGCCGTTCGAATCGTCGGTGACCGAGCTCTTTCCGATCGGCTGACTCAGTGGCACTGCGAAGAAATGTTGCATCTCTTTGCGTATTTTATCACATTTACCACGAGGAGTGCTCTAAGGAATTGTTCGGACTAATTCCAGCCGCACAATTTCACCATCGCACATCGCGACGAAACTCGCGATACCATTCATACCATCTGGCGGTCCACCACTGTGCGATTTAAAAGAAGTTCCCAAATTTCTTCTGTTGGCTCAGTCATGTATACTGGTTGTTATTTATCCCAAATAACTGAGTAGATAGATAGATAGATAGATAACTCTTTATTGCATTTGAACAAAGTTATTACAATAACTGAAAACTTATCACTACAAACGGCGGTCATATCGCTTTAAGCGATTTCTATCTGACAAAACGAACATAAAAGGACATTGTAATTTTATATTTTGACGGATAGGTGCAACGTGCAATATGAAATAAACAGGAAAAAAAATACAGTGCATTTCTTTTATAATAGAGCTAACCGTAGGAAACCCGACTCTAAAACTATGTGCGATAGTTTTGAGGGTATCTCCAGTAGCTAAATACATGTAACAAACTTTTAATTTTACTTATTATTTACAGGTGAAAGTTTGAAAAAGAGATGGAAAAGCCTAAAAGACTGTTATACTAAGCACGTAGGTACTATCCGAACAAACTCACGCGGGGTAAAAAGCAAAGCAACTGGACCGGTAAACCATTCTTAGTCACTGTCAAATTCGAAACATATCAGTATGGAGTGTAGAAGTAAGGAGTACAGACTGTGTATTAAAAAATGTCAATAAAAACCTTTAAATAAGGGTGTCGCCACTATACTCGCTACGGGGTAAATTTTAAAGAACTCACCGAAAAATATTAGTGGGATAGACGACTTTTGCGAGGTTATATTTACTAAATAAAATTATTTTAGATTTTGGAGCTACTGAGCAGCTCTGCAGCACACTTAAACCGTCGACAACTGCTAAGTTCATTTCATCCCGGTAGCTACTCCAGCTCTGTTGTGGAGAGTTTTTGAGATGTTATTTACTGCTTACAGATGGCCGCTTTTTCAACTATTCTACTATGGGAGTTGGTACTCCTTGCTTCTACACTCTATAGGCCAATGGTAACAAAAGCAACAGCAGCAGCTTTTTGGTATGATTCACTCTAAATAAAAAGCGATTTTTGATTCGATTCGAATCGAACATACTACAATCGATTTTTGATTAAATCGATCATTCAAAGATCGATTTTTGATTAATCGCAACATTTTCAAACATGCTGAATAATACATATAAGAACAACAATACTTTTATGAACGTGCAAACTGCAACGTACATTCCTCAATAAATCAATGAATACTACACGAACACAATACTATTTATTTCGTTACCATAAACTTCAACAAATAATATTTACTTGCCGTATTTTTGATAAATAAAGTAAATTCATAGGACAGATTAGGTTAGACACCAGGATCCATGGATTAGATTAGAAACAATACAGAACAATGACAAGTGACAATCTTTTTATTGGTAAGTAACATATATTATACGTGGTAGAGCAACGCTGCAGCTATATTAGTTGTAGTTTGAATGTGTCGGCTCACCCGAGAGAGGACCATGATCTTACAGAATGCTGACGTCATATAGCAGCTTAAGGCCTTTTTACTGAAAACAAGGCATTTGATTTTAGTCTTCAGGGGTTATAACTGATAATGCATCTGCATGTTGATTATTAAACGAGGATAAATGAAGATGTCTATGAGCCAAAACACCCACTTATCATCAGATGGACTGTGTCATCGTTTATCAGCCCTATTTTATAAAAAAATTAAGTAACGACATTTTGGATACGTTCATAAATATTTATTTATTGTGTTCAAATTATCAACCAAGTACGACTGGTTGTGTTTGGGTCCGACAACAGCAAAAAAAAATTAAAAGATTATAATACCTCAATCACTTTAGGAACTTTATCACTAGTTCTTGAATCAATCTGATTTAAAAGGTTTTTTGATCGATTCATTGGATCTACATATTATATAGTGTTCCAAATCAATCTGAAAAATCGGTTATTTTACCCGAAATAATCGATTATTCAATTAATCGATTTAAGCCTACTTTTTGGATAAGGAGTTGTTATGGGAACTTGATCCCCGCCACCCCTGTTCCTGATATACCTTCAAAATGTTCATGAAATAATCGTTTGAACTGGATTTTATTACTATGAAAATGAAATGGTTTATTCTGTGTGTGAAATATCTGCACATGTGAACTATGTATTAGTGGACACAATATAATAAATAGGTACTTTGATAGCGATAAACCTCAATATTTTTTATCCGCAAGGATCTTGGGATGTAATTGTCATCAACTTCTTCTGAGTTAAGCATCTGCCTGAATCTCACAAGAACTTTACAATGTGAACTATTAGCATATTGTAAAGAGTTTTGTGAACAAAATCGGGTAAGGCTGTATAGTGTAAGACTTTTGTCTACCTTAATTGAAAAATCGTAACAACTCTTTGGTTACACTTGCTTTTGCTTCCAACTTCAAAATAAATGAATTTCTAAAGTTTTATTACCGTGAAGCTTAAATATTCCGATGTCCACACAATCCAAAACGATGCCTACGTTTGATTTAAAAATCTACGTTCGTATAGTAGCGGCTATTTTCACTGTAAGTATAAAGTTTACAATACCTATAATTGTAACATTGCGTTATTATGTCCAATAAAAATTAATCGCTTAGAGTACATAAATTTTAACAAATTAGATGCGAATTAATTATTATTAGTAGCTAGCTATATGAATGTGACTAAACGCTTCACAAAACTCATTTTATAATTTTGATGCTAACTAAATAAATAATGTTAATATACATAACAGAAATAATAATATTTTATTTTTGTTTCTGTCCCTTTTAGGTGTCCTCCATAACTGCATTTGCGTTTGTACTGGTACGTCTGTTGAAACCGGAATTGTTTTATGAGAAACAATTAATTGGAAGTGATTTAGGTAAGATGATTACCAACTCAAATATTTTACTAAAGTAGAATATTTTGTAAGCATATAAACTTATTTACCTCTTTAGGCCACTAATTGGTTTAACATTTTCATTTATTTATTTTTTACAATTTTAAAAGTATGCTATGTATACAATGAAAGTTATTGACAATGTAAATATAAGAGGACATATGAGTGAACTTAAGATAAACCTGAACATCTCATCAACAATCTTTTCTTTTGTGTGAGTAGCTATGCAGGTCTAACAAGACCAGTATTACTGCAGCCAGTAAGATTTCTTGTGATCTCTGCCCTAGCTAAGCCCTCCATTTTCAATTATTTGAAAGAGTTGTTTAGCTGTGAGATTTCATTTCTTCTAAGCTAAGTATCTAATTTCACAGACAAGTTACATAAAACCTGAACATATAAACATTTATAGCTAAATCTTATTAATTATAAATTATCCCCTTGTCTGGCGACCGGCCAGATTCTGGCCGATGGCTTAAAGTTTGGTGCTATTTTAACATGGAAGGGTCAATAACCAACAGTTTTTAATTCATAATTTAGGGATATGTATCCTTTTTATGCATTTAAAAAAATCGAATATAAATGGCTGTTATACCTACTTACCTTACATTTATCTCTATTGTTGATTAAAAATACATTACATACTTTTTAGAAATAAAACTTTGAAAAGAACTTGAACCATACTTAATGTTAAAATTATCGCACGCCACTTGACTTGCTCCTTTCTCAAAATAAAAGTAACAATATATGCTATTTTTTGTGCGACGCTTGGGTTGCCGTTCATGTGTTAAGAAAGTAAAAAACTTTTAGTGTAAAAAATATGTAGGAATGTGTGGTTTTTTTGCTTTTTATTATAAATTAGTGTATATTGATGAAAATAAATTAGATTTATTTTATAAATGAATGAATTTTCTGTTTAATTTTCACAAATTATGAACATTATTGTATAATTGTAATATATGTACAAAATACTATTAAAAATTCGGTTTTCTAACTTTGAAATCGGGGTAATAAAATCTATTAGGTTGTATTCAACTAAGATAAGTACAGAATAATAGCACATAATATAACAATTCAAATGACATAACTTATACATAGCTTCCATACAATATTTTAGAGAAATTACTAATTTAATCGCCACGCGCCGATATCGTGGAAATTATTTGCAAATAGCCGGCCGGCCAACAAGGGGTTATGTCTACAATCTTCAATCACAATTTTTAAACAAAAACAATTTTGATTGTAATGGTATAAAGTTAGAGGCATTGACATATTATATTACTAGCGTAAGGACCGGGCCGACCGAACAACTAAAACGGACCATTGCGCTGGCCCTAAAATTACAGTTTAGGGCCAACGCGAATCGGTCGACAGTTGTGCGCGCGCAGGACAGATTTGCCTGTCATAAATATGTCTAGTTGCATGGTATAAGGATGTAAAAATTACGATTCAAAGATTAAAAAGGAACATGATATCGTATCATTGTTTAATAACCTTATATTAATTTTGTCACAGTTAAATTATTATATAAACACATTTTTAAAGTTTTATTTTATAGTTAGTTTCGTTACGTTACTAAGATTAGGCCAGGGTTGGATTCAGACCCTCAAAAATATTGTACATGGAAATTAAAATTATACTATTAAAAAAAAATATCATGTTTGACGTTTCATGTTTCTTTTTTCACACGTGCCGGGATTTTGGTGTCACGCGTCTAGTTTATCTATACGTTTCGTTTTTTGACGATTTTATTTTTGTCTAAAAAACTTAGTGTAAGTTAAATTTTGAATATTGGTACCTAATATATTTTATATTCAATAAGGGTAAAACGAAAAACCATATCAACATAACTGAATCTGAAAATCTGATTCATAAAATATTTTGAAATTCTGTTTTTAGACCGATTGCTTCTGGAGCATAGAGTTTTTATCGTGGTAGCTCCTCATTATAGTTGTATCAAGGATTCAACATAAATGCATCGATCGAGCACCGATTGACCAGAAAGGGAGCTAATTTTAACATTTTATTTTATTTATTTGTACAATACTGAAATTCTCGATACCGTAGGGTTAATATTAAAAAGAAAAAAATATCCCAATAATAATACAAGTCGTCCTTTAGGTATAATTATGGTATTTCCGCTTAGTATTATTACGATACTATATACTACAGTATTTAGTACAGATACTATGTACTAAATATAGGGCGTGCGTGTGTGTGTGTGTGTGTGTGTGTGTGATAATATAACAATAATAAGCAGTTTTATTAGTCATTAAACTTACTGTGAGACATGAGCATAAAATGCTTTGACTACTTTTTCATACCTTAATCTCATCAATCATACCTTAGTTCAAATATATCTTATTTACCACAGCTATTTACATTTCTAATGGTTAAAATAAATCTTCCAGTGATCCATTACTTCATGTCAGGCCTGATGTTGGTGACAAGTGTGATTGGGTTTCTGAACAGTAGCATGGTGCTGAACCGCAGCGGGACAAACAGCAGCCGTAGTATCACCACATGGCTGTTGTTAGATTCACTGTTTGAAACATCACGAGTTGTATATATCTTCATCTGTGAAGTGGCGCTGAACAGTACTGGTGTAATACATCGATATGAGTTAGCTGTTAGTGCTCTGCAGTACTGTGAGTATATGCTTACTTTCTTACATTGGTATTATATGCAAATTCAATTTCACAGGCCTTACCTTAGCAGTTCAGTTTAGTTTCATACATGGTAGAACTATGCAGGAGTTATATTATGGTTGCAGCACAAATTGGTCAGTTTGATTGGGGAATAACCAGTCTCACAGAATACAAGTGTGAAATAGCAGCTTAATACTACTGTGTTTTGTATGGTGAATGTAGAGAACTGGAGACTCTATTTACGGGTAATGTAGCCATACCATTAGGGGTGACAATGCATCTTCATTAAGATTCTTAATGAAATATCAAAAAAAAATATATAGGGCCACAGTATCTGCTTACCATCAGGTGAACTGTATGCTCTTTTGTTACCCTTATTCTATAAAAAAAAGTCGGCGACTTGATAGCAGATTTGTATTAAAAGGAAATATAGAAAACGTTTGCCACCTTTAACCTCTCAAATGGCAAGCATCCAAATTTGACTGCTTCGATATTCCGTCAAAATTCAAGAGGTCAAATATGACCGCACCCACCCACAGCACTTTAATCCATAAATACTTATGTTTAGAGACTACTTTTCTATGAAGATGTTTGGCATTATAGAATCAAAATGAAATTTTCTATCCTCTAGTGGAATAAAAATTCACTTAGTATATGGATATTTATTTATAATCTACGTTAATTTCGTACGCCATTTTCATGATAAATGTTGTCCTCTCACCTGATGAGCGGGTAAGCGCTATGATGTCGTAAATTGATAGGCTTTTGAGATAACTTCGCGCGGTGAGACCTATGTTCTTTTTTATTAGTTTTACAATCTCATTGTTCACAAATTCCAAACACATTGTATGTCATTGGATTCCTAGATAAATTTCCTATAATTTGAAAGTACTTTTATTCGAATCTATTATAATATGACCGAACTATATGTAAGTGAAAAAAGAAAAAGGGTTATTTCTGAATTTCCGATCTAAAAGAAAAACAATTTATTGTTTTATTTCTGCACTTTATTTCACCTCTTACTATCTAGTAATAAGAATGTACAAAAATATTTACATCTTTCACTGTAAAATGTTGACAAAAATTACGATTTCCAAAAAGAGATTTTTTTGTACCTACATGAAAAAACATATCTAAAGTAGCTCAACTTTGAATGTTAGTTTTGTTCACTCTATTTATTCAAATCCAGCAAAATATACATATACATAAACACTCACGCCTGTCACCCAGAGGGGTAGGCAGAGACTACAGACTTCCATTTGGCACGATCCTGACACACCTCTCTCGCCTCCTTCACATCCATACACCTACGCATACCTGCTCGTCGGTTAAGGGTACTCCTAATTTGGCCCGTTTTCAATAAATCGCCAATTTGGTCGATAAATTTTCGCCTAGGACGTTCATTTCCGACCCTGCCATTCACTTCTGCAACATAAATTTTCTTTGTCACTCTTTCCTCATTCATTCTTTCCACATGACCAAACCACCGAAGCATTCCTTTCTTAATCCTGGTCACAATATCATCTTGCAAACCACACTCTTCTCTTATTACACAATTTCTTACCCTGTCTTTCAGATTCAGACCTTAACGACTGCATTTCTACTGCGTTGATTCTACTCTCGTGCTTCTTCTGCCAAATATATATTTTTAAAAGCTTGATTTATGATTGTATAAATACATTCAGAGATTGGGCTCAAACCTTTTATTTTTCAATAGAAGGTAAAAATTAAACCCTTAGTTTTGGTGACCGGAAAGATGACCTTCAAGACTACGCCATTTTTATAAAAACTGAGCTAAAAAAATGAACAAGGAACTTATGTTCTTAAAATACACAAAATAAGCTTTCTATTACAAAAAAAATCACTCTAAATAATCCTTGAACATAAAAATGTTTAGCGATTCAAAAATATTAAAAATATAGTGTCCTGTCATATTATGACCGGTCATCAAACAAGATATGAATTGAAAAAATTTAAAAGCGTGCAGTGCATTTATTTTTCTAAAAATATGTAATGATAATATTAACACAGGAAAAGAAAAGAAAAATTAAAATCTAAGCAAAATTATGCAAATAAGAGGTGTATCCTATCCTATACCTTTAACGAGCAATTCTTGTATATATACCTATATAATAGGAATATCGGAAACGGCTCCAACGATTTTCGTAAAATTTTGTGCCCAGGGAGTTTTGGGGGCAATAAATCGATCTAGCTAGGATTTATTTTTAGAAAATGTTTTTTGTCCGTGTTTTCAGGCAATGAAAAACTGCTAAGATATAAGAAGGTAAATTTTGACATTTTGTTAATGGTCGTAATAGCTCAAGTGGATATAGAGCGGTCACGAAATCGTAATGCCTTGGTTCGCGTCCTTTCTCCGGTACGATTTAATTTCCTTTTTTTTTCAAGTTACATTCTTTTGTGAGAAAATCTTTTATTTCGAGCCTTTTTTTAGTATTTTTTAAAAATACGAAAATTTTAATTAAACTAATTGCACTCATGATTCAAATAACCAGTTCAGTTTTTTCTATTATGTCAATAAGATCAAAAAATATTATTCATCAGTATGTAATTTGTATCTAAATGTAATTTCAAAAAAAAAATCTAATAAGTAATTTATTTGGCATTATTTTTACGAACTTTGAGTGGATTCACTGTAAAACATACTAAATTTCAGCTTGTAAAACTTTGTAACGGCCACTTGCAACAATGGTACAAAGCAACTGTGACTAAAAGCTTTTATTTTATAAAGAAGTCTGTTTTTATAGAAGATTATCCATATTCATATAAATTTCTACAAAACTACAAAGGCATAGACCACAATAAAGTATTTTAGTGTAAAAAAAAAAACAGACAATATGACAGGGCATAATATGACAGGTCGTAACACGTCCGCTTGCAACATGCAGTCATAATGTGACAGCTCATCAAGTGAAGGGATATTGTGTTGATTTTTGGATTTTTCTAGTGTTTTATATTAGAACTGTAATGAAAGTTTTGTGTGAATATAATTTATTTTTTTACGTAAATAATTTCAAGTAATATATAGAAATAATTGTGATTTTCACACTGCCTACATCCTCTTGATATGTATTTTTTTTTTTGTTAACAAAATCCAATAAAATCTTTTTGTAATGAAGTAAAACCTGACTTTGGTTTATACCACATGAAAGAGAATTTTGTATAAATTTTACAATGCCAAACTTCTTCATAGAAAAGTAGTCTCTAAATGTAACTTTTATTGGTTTAAAGTGGTGTGGGTGGGTGCGGGATTTACCGGCCGCATGCGACTGCATGGGATTTTTATGGGGATTGAAAGGTTAATAAGACAAAAAAATGCTTGTCACTAAAATATTTAATTTGCATTATACCAAACGTTTACCAAACTTTGTACAAACTACAAAATAAGTAACCATACAGGTACATAGTAGGTATATTAAAATATAAAATTTTAAAAAGCTCTGAATTCTTAAATGTGCTGTTGATTTACTCATAGGTGTTGATAGGTCTCAGTACCCCCCCCCCCCCTGCACATTGTCACATGATTTTGTGTTGCCAGTATCGGTGTAGTATGATATGGCATAGTAAGAAGTTATAAGTTATGTAATGCTAGTGATAGGAACCATCTTATAAGATCTGTGTCCAACGCTCAGCGTTACTATCATGCTATGCCATCTGGAAAGCATATGTGATTATGTATTACTTAATCTATAGTGATCTGATGAAGAGCTGTTATGATGCTTACCTTATGACATACCAAGAACAGAATAAGCTTCCCAGCGACTGACAGTATGGGTTTCTAAAATAGGTTGACTGGGGACCTTTTATTAGCGTATTCTACACACAAGACAATGCTTTTGAGAAGAATGAGGAAGCAATTGCTGAGTTTGACCAGCTAGTCTTTTAAGCAAGCTTCCAACTTATGGCTTATGGTCTGGTCAAATGGGTGAGAGAGACTTTGTATGAAGTCTCTCAAAGTTTTTGTTTTTAAAATAAATGCCTAAAAAACCTGTTCCCTGTTAGATTTATTTTGTACACAAACAAAATTGTAATACCGCTCTGTCATCTATTGGAAGCCATAAAAACTTTTTGACAAAATTAAATCTCATACTCACCTGTAATGACACCCACAGACTCAAATAAGAAAGGATTTTCTAATTTCCCCTTCACGGGTAGTTCATATTTGGACCCTGATAATGAATTCCATAGTGCTTGAGTAGACCAAGATTGATGTTTGATCTCCAAGCTGTTTAGTGTTTGACTACATGTTCATCTGTAGTAGAAAACATCACAGAAATTACGGGAGGCATGTGGTTAGCCATGATAGCTCAGATGGTTAGCTCGCACTGCAAACTTCACAGTATGTAAGCAATTCGGGTTCGATCCCCGATGGTTAGCTGTATAACAATTATAAGGAAAAATTTTAAATATTTATGTTATGTTACTTCATATTAAAAATAATTTAGCTGTAACTGAACACAAGCGGGAGTGACATGAAGCAATAAAATATGTTAGTTATAATAAAATAGTAAACTGTTTTCTTTCAGTGTTAGACAGTTTTTTCTACTGTCAAATGATACTCAGACACTAGCATACAAAGAGATCACAGGATTTAAAAGTTAAGACAAGCTAAACTTTAAATGGTTAAAATAACCGAAGGACTGGAAGCTTTGTGGTCAAATACTCTATGATGATCTCTGTTATATAGTTATAAACCGTACTCGAGTATTGTTAAGAATTATATTAGAATAATGATAAATACTGTCCTTAGGATAGGCAATATTATTAGTAATAGGAGTTGGCAACTCATTTAAAAAACTCCCTTTAATTTATGGAAATTTCTATGTTATCTGTGATTTTGTCGAATTTTAGATCTTAGGAACTGTTACATATGATTTAAGATTATTGTATGATCACAGGATTCTGTTACAGCTGTCGTGTGTTTCTTTAATTTCTTTTTAGTTTCTTAACATTAACATTGTCAATTATAAAGACTAAGAATTAGCTGTTAATAATTGCAAGCAATGTTAACTTGTGTAATTTGTGTTGTGTAATGTGCCTTGTCTTTCAAGCTGGTCCCGTGATTTTTTTGTTTCACTTATTTAGACTTTTATCGTTTCACAAAAATAAATGATGATACAGTTTTACAAAGATTATTCAACAATGTGAATAGGTGTTAAAATAATTTGTTTAACTGCAAGCAAAGCATATATAATGTTAAAGCATTATTTAACTTATTTACTGTTGACAATATCGCCTAAAATGCTTCAGTTTATATTTGCTTTTTTGATTGTGCTATTCAATAATAGCATCTTATAAAAAGTATTTTTTTAAAGTATTTATAAAGATCTCTTAATGATTTTTAACATTCCTTGCGTAATACTCAATATTGTGACATGTTTTATCTATTCTGTGTTTTTAATTCACAATATTATAATTTATAACAGTTTCTGATGCAAGATAATTTTACTTACGTTGTCTAAGTTGATTAATAACATGTGAATATGTTATTAATCAACTTAGACAAAGTATTAATTAATAAATTATTAAAAACTTTGTTGTATTTGAACATTTACAATCTTTATTAGAAATGAAATTAAACTTTAATATTACTTTAACTCGGACAAAACCTTATTGTACATTTTGTAGTATTGATTTGTCGTTTAGTAATTAGAAATTGGAGGAATTCAAGATACACAATTGTTTAATTAGTCAGTTTTTACTTTTGTTATTAAATTCACGAATTCACATTCATATTTGTGAATTTGTAGCCCAATAAGGTTTCTAGCTCTTAAGATTTATGCTGAATACTTTAATTATCATGGCACTATAATATCTCCTATGCAGTTGACAGCCCCTAACATTACTTGCATGTGGTCACCTTGGTCTAAATCAGCCAGATGGATAATCTTACGAAGAGAAAGTTAGTTAAGTTAGACTAAAGATAGGTATTAAAATTTTAAAACCTGGAGTGGATATTCACTTTTAAATATATATTATATTTAAAACTTGATATAGTATTGTTGAGCTTCAATGTCTATGATATTTTATATGGGTAATATTAATATTTGACATTATTGTGAATGAAAACTATGAAGAGAATAAAAATATTGTGATAATTTTAAAGAAAAATAATGAATCTACAAATCACATATGGTCGCAGGCATGTTCCGTTGTCGTTTTGTTTTTATGACATTTATTGTGTAGCATTGTAAAAAAATACTTTATCATTTAATTTATGTTATGATGTAAAGCTAGACACATATGTCTTATTGTTATTTTAGATCTAAGTTTATCACAGGCTGGCATTTATTTTCCCGCCGATTTTTTGACACTAAACTTTTTTTCTTTTTACATACATATTAAGTTAGTAAGGTTTTTATCCTATATTATCAGTATTAGAATCTCAGTATATAAATTACATTCCTATTTTGTGTTAAATGTTGTTTGTTTTAAATATCCACATAAAAGGAAATATTTATTATTTACTAATGAAAACTGTATGTATAGTAAGTTCTGAATTCAAATGTTTTTGACTGTGTAGTGGTTGTGTAAAAATATCCACTGCCCCACATCATGCCGTGGGTGTCGTGAGAGACGCCGGAGGGAAACAAATTAGAAAGGCAGCAGCGTCTACGTAATAACAAATGAAAATAAAAAAACTGCAGCTGCCAGCCCGCTCGCCAAGCGTGCCAACTATAGAAAATATCCCCGCTGTGAGGCAATCTATGGGGAGGCCTGTGTTCAGAAGTCGATTTTAATAGGCTGTAATGGTAACAGTATCATACATGCAAATATCTTAACAGCTTCATCGCTTTATACTTAGTAACTCTATCAAATTAGCAAACAAGCAAAGTGTACTGTCAACAACACAATGACATATGATATTAACTATTAAGTTCCCGTTTTCTATCTCCGCCTGTGTAAAATATTATTTGCTTCAATTGGATTTTTATTATAATTGTTTAATTTGAAATGTTCCTTTTTATTGTATTCTTATATATTTGTAACACAGCTATTCGGGGTTGCTATAACAATGATAAATAAATGATTTGGCTGTACAATCAAGAAGAGCAGAAGATTCACTCAGCTCACTGATTAATTTCGCTCACTCATGTATATTATGTAGATTAGTAGAATTTTTAAGACATATTAGATGCGCTGGAGATTCTTTGGTATTTATAATTAAATACGCGTTTATGTCCGAGTGAAATAATGGCTTCCACGACTTTTCTGCCACCAGGGCGGCGCCACTTGCAAATGAGGTGAAATATTTTGGTTATCTTGGTGGGGAAGTTATATTAATCAGATTAGGTGTGACTAAATCAAACTACAGATATTCCTAAAAGTAGAAAAATTAAAAATGTGTAAAAAAACTAAAGACCACATCACTGAGGTATTATTTGCATAACACTAGAAACCGATAAACTTTTATTTTAAACACAATTCTTAATTATATGACATTGGGTGCGTTGCAAAAAAGACAGAACCCCCAACCCCTTCCTCTTTTTTTTTTTTTTGTTTTTTGAGGGGTTTTTGTTTTTTAAAAAAAAGAAAATAAAAACGAAAAAAGTTTTACCATTGTATACAAGTTTTAAATTTTAATTGTTTAGCCCACCCCCTAAAAAACCCCAAAAACTTCACCTCAGTCCCAACTCGCGACATCTGGTGAGCGAAAGATTATTAGCACTCATTCAACAAGATCTGTTGTGCTGAGTTTGCCTAGTGTTGTCATTTATTTAAACTTGCTAAATCAACAAAATTGTACTAGTCAAAACTGTATCAAAATTAATCTAATATTTTCTTTACTGACGTTACGACCTCTTTGTTTGTTTATTAAACCTGTTGAAATAAAAGTCAGTTGGTATTAATTATCCTCTTTAATCTGTGAGATGTCCGTCCAAAAATATAATACATACTCAGCTATCAACACTTCAACATGCCTACAGAATTACAAAGTGCACTTCCTTCTCACTGCCAACAAACTATTGACAAGCCCCCCTCCACACGACCAATCTCAACCATAGAGTAACGAATCGAATTAACAAAAATGCATTATTTGTGATAAATGTCGGAATATGTGTTTAAGGGCTTGATGCCTTCCACATGCCAAAATATTCCGAAGCACACACTTGGTCAACAACAAACATTACAAACGAAATACTTAACAACTATACTGATCTGTTGCTATGGATCTTGACAAAAAATGTTTACATTTTCCGACATCTCTTCAATTAAAAGATGATGTTAACATAAAAATTCTCTACAATTATCATTTAGCGAGATTTAGTCGTGTCTGTTTAACACAAAATGAAACAAATCAGCAGACTGCGCTTTAAGCAATTTAAATTTTTAACATACTTATTATACCATGTTACCCTGTACATTCATAGACAAAATGTTAACCCAAACATGAATGGAACGATCGTTGCTAAAAATTGTATTATATAAAATATATATAAGCGGGAAATATACAATTTAGGCAGAATTTAAATATGTATGAATGATTTTGCCATGTGGCAAATCAATAATCAACTTTAAACATTACAGTAGATCCGCGGTAATCCGACAAACGTTTTGCAAGGCGGTGTCAGATTATCAAATTTGTCGGACTATAGAGTACTGCCACAGCCCCCTGGTAGTCCAGAACTTTTTGAAAAAGAGTACCTTGTAATCCGACAAATTACATATCAAATCATAAACAATAAAAAAAAAGTCATGTGAAATTAAGTAAATGATGGATGTCCGTTAGGCTGCAACCCCATAGTCACACTTAAACTGAGACAATGGCCTGAAATAAATGTAACCTGTTTGTCCACGTATTCGCGAAGAACACCCCCCCCCCCCCCCCCACATAACGGATTCATTTAAGGCATGTCGGATTACAAGGGGGTGCTGATTAGCCAGGAGCCGGACTATCGAAGGTCTACTGTATATCAAAATTTCCCGCCATATGCATTTCACAAATTGCCAGTTACAAAAAATCATAAATTATCTGTTGTAAGAAAATATTTTTTCACGATAATTTTGATTACAATTTCTTTGTAATTTTTCATACAACAACTTTACAAAATACAAACTTTTTTGAAGTCCTATCGCAAATGGCACAAAATCAACTCTGCCATTCTTTTTCTAATCAATGAAATGATGAAAATGTCTACATTGCTATAACTATTGTTCGTGTTACGAAAATACTATCATATATTTTACACTTAATGGCACTTAAAATTTGTGTTTTAATTACGCTTAATTTTTTTTAGATTTGAAGATGAATTTAATGATTTCGGTAATTTTACTCGAAAAACTTGTTTTACCGTATTACAGTCATTAGACATTGAATTACATGTAATTTAGATACAAATATAAACGTGCGAGACTAAACCTTATAAACTTCGCATTCTGAAGAATTTTGCAAATAAAATTTCTAATTCAAATTGAAAATAAAATTCTAATTCTAAATATACTATCGAAAATCAATATTTTTAGCGGCCGCAAATTGCATGAAATGTAATTCATTCCATGCAATTCAGTTGTAATATAATAACATAATCATAAGTATAGATAGCGGTGGCAGTCGTGAACATGTAGCAA